GACCTCCCCAAACACCACTCGCCGCAACATCAAGTCGAGCCTGGTCTTCTGTGGAGGCAGTCTTGTAGCGGAGCTGCTCACCAGAGAGCGGTTGTAAGTGTGGCTCGATAGCGACACTATTGGCGACACGTTTCAATAGCGAGGCAGTGATGTCCCGCGCCTCATTGTGTCGAAGTGACGGGAAACCTCCGGTGCTGCATGTCAGGGCATGGGCTACTGTGAAGCTGGCTCCACAGACACAGGTTGACGGTAAGCGAGAAGGCCGCCAGCCATAGCGCAGTGCCAAACCATCGCGGAACTCGCTTTTGGATAGCACAAATCCATGACGGGATAGCGGACGACAAGTAAGCCAGCTGGAGGCGCCAGGCTCACTTGCCAACTGAATTGTGTGCTGCAAAGTGGGCGATGCGTCGGCAGCGAAGCCACGGATGTCGGTCTTCGCTTTCTGGCGGTGATCTGCACGCTGTGACGCTTTGGCTGAGGCAACGCTGGCAAGAGCTTCCGTCACACTGAAGTCTTGGTCGAGGATGTTGGTGGTGAGCGCCGCTGTGATCGCGCGGGATGAGGCGTATTGGGTTGTTAGAGATGTTGGATTGACGATGCCCAGGCCACCATCCCGGCAAGGGAAGGCAAACAGCCGTCGCAGCTCCAGACTGACTTCTTCTCCAGTCAGGGCTGGCAGCAGCTTGGTAACAATGGCGTGTTCCAACTGATGAAGACCACTGGACGCATCCGGCAGAACACGACACAAGAATGTCCAGCGGCATGAGAGAGCACGAACAAAAGTAGTGTACGCTGCCTGGGGCTGGGTACGAGCGAAGGATGAGAGTGTCTCAACCTGCTTGCACCATTCATTGGCCTTCTCCTGGATGAACCCGTGGATGTAGTCGGGCGTGCCAATAGCGGAACCCAGGTAGCGGTTGCCGTCAGATGTTACTTGGATGCCAGTATCAGCGAAGAGGTGCACATCGTCGTCGTAGGCATGTGGCTTGACCACAAGCACAGACTTCCGGGCATTGAGGTGATATCCGTAGGACGGACCTTCAGCCTGCAGCTTGTCGGATAGTACATGATTGTAGTATACTACACTGAGAATTCTGTGCAAAAATCGCACAATTTTTAATGGCCGTTGAAAAAAGAGAGTTCCCGAGGGTCGGTTAGGTTTTTTCGAGCTCCGGGGTTTCCCCACTTTTCAGAGTGTTTCAGTGAGTTCAGTGACTACGATGGTGCGCTGATATGGCAACGAACAGCAACGCGAAGGGTCCAGGTCCGCACGGACGTCGGTGCTGCCCTTGCACTGGGAACGCGACCTGCCATAAAAGCTGTTCTTGCTACAAAGAGAACCGCCATTGTATCAACTGCACACCTGGAAAAAAGGAGAAGTGCAAGAACACAGCCGATGCCGTACACCCGGAACATCAAACCGTCGGAAATGCCGTACCAGCAGCTGCAGAGTACGAGTGTGGCAGTTTGAACTGCCAGCGTGGAGTGGAACGTGGAGGTGACGCTCACGACCGCGCCACAGAGCTCCTGCAGCAATGCCTGGAAGCCTCGAGGCATGAGCCGTCCGCCACCAGCGCCGCAGAAACTCGGCCCAATGAAGCTCAAAATATCAGCTTCGCAACAGTTGGCTTGGGACGTTTTGGAAGAGCAAGAGAATGCCCTCGCCGATCCACCGCGAACTCCGGAAAGTGTCGAGCCGACCACGGACGAGGTCGACCTACTAGCAAACCTGACCTCCACACAGCCCACTGGCACTGGCGAACAGGCGGACGGCCCAGAGCAAGTCCCCAGCACCGCAGCTACCGTACTGCCAGATTTCCTACCAACGGAAAGGACACACTTCAGCCTCGGCGAGCTGACTTCAGAGCAGACACTGACCATGATAGCGGAAGTCTACGACATAGCCGTCCACTACCGGCCGAACGCTTTCCTAGTGCCGCATGGGAGAACGGGGCGGGAGTTTATCGCGCAGCTGAGCAGATATTTGGAATGCTTTGGGCAGCATGGCGCCTACGCGGAATGTGCCCTGAAGATAGCTATGGTCTATCAGCTCCTACTTCTGCAGAAGCCGTTTGGCAACCCCTCCTCTTCTACCGCAACTTGCTTGCAACGCAGGATGGATCTGTGGAAAGAGGGGAAGCTGAAGGAGCTTCTGCACGAGTGCCAAACTATCCATGACCAACTCAACAAGCACCAGCACCAACAGAGCCGTAGGCAGCCGGACCCAGCACAGCAGTTTGCATCCCTAGTAACTAAGGGCAAGCTTCATGCCGCATTGGACCAACTGAGCAGTGGAGATTCAGGAGGAATGCTGCACCTGGACGAAAGAATTGGTGAGAGGACAGTCCTCGATATCCTCAAGGACAAGCATCCGGAGGCTGCGCCGCCTCACGCCCAAGCGGTGATGCGTGGTGTCCCGCCTACCCCACCCCATCCAATTCGAGGCACTAACACGACAAGTGGTGCTACGGGCAGCGCTCAATACCCATGGTGCTGCAGGTCCCTCGGGAGTCGCCGCCGACAACTGGCGACGCATGTGTTCAGGTTTCGCCGACATCTCCGATCAGCTGTGCGACGCGATTGCAGCATGTGCACGACGGCTAGCAACGACCTATGTCCATCCATCAAGCCTGGAAGCCTACGTCGCCTGTCGCCTGATTCCCCTTGATAAGAAGCCAGGCGTGCGGCCCATCGGCATAGGTGAGGTCCTTCGCCGGATCATGGGGAAAGCCATCCTCTCCATCACGAATGACGAAATTCAACGTGCAGCCGAAAGTCTCCAACTATGTGCTGGCCAAGAAGGAGGTGTGGAAGCAGCCATTCACGCCATGAATGACCTCCATCAGCTGGATGACACGGAAGCAATCCTACTGGCTGATGCAACTAATGCGTTCAATTGTCTGAACAGAGAAGTATGCATGCGGAACATCCAACACACCTGCCCGTCCTTAGCTCCGACAGTCATCAACACATACAGAGAGCCGGCCAATCTGTTCGTGAGCGGTGAGTGTATCAAGTCCAGCGAAGGTACCACCCAAGGCGACCCGGTCGCTATGGCGATGTACGCTCTCGGTGTTCTCCCCCTCATCGAAGAAGCAGCAACAGACGGTGCCACGCAGTCTTGGTTTGCGGATGATTCTGCCGCAGGAGGCAAGTTGCAAGCAGTACGAATCTGGTGGGATTGCCTCAACGAGAGTGGTCCATCATACGGCTATTTCCTCAACCCGACCAAGTCTGTCCTCCTTGTCAAGCCACAGTTTCTGGATGAGGCCACCAGCATATTTGCTGGAACTGGAATTGACATCCGCACAGATGGATGTCGGCATCTGGGAGCCGCGCTTGGCTCAGCAGAATTCTCCCGCTGCTTTATGGAGCGCAAGGTTCAATCCTGGGTAGAGGAGGTGATGTCGCTCAGCACTATTGCTTCGTCACAGCCCAACGCTGCATATGCAGCGTTTGTTCACGGCCTGCGAAGCAAATGGTCCTTCCTGTCTCGAGTCATGGCTGACCTACATTTGTACATGCAGCCGTTGGAGGACTCCATCAGAAACAAGTTCATCCCCGCTCTTTTAGGTGGTAGAACCGTCAACGATGATGAGCGACAACTTCTGGCTCTGCCTTGTCGACATGGTGGTCTGGGGCTCATCACACCTGCCTCCCTCGGGGCCCAGTACGCCCACTCCAAGACCATCGTTGGCCCCCTGGTGCGGCGCATTCAGCAGCAGACTGCCACGCTTGGCGATGCCCTGCAGGAAGTGCGGAAGAACAAGCAGCTGTTGAGGGCGAAGGCAAAGACATCACTCCAAGCCGAGGCCGTCGCTCTGCATTCTGCCGCACCTCCAGAGGTTCTACGTACCATCGACCTTGCTTCGGAGCGGGGAGCATCCAGCTGGCTCACCTGCCGGCCCCTAAAGGCCCACGGCTTCACCCGGCTCACGAAGGCTGAGTTCCGCGATGCTGTGCACCTCCGGTATGGCTGGCACCCAGTACGACTGCCAACATCATGTTCCTGTGAACAGCAGTTCACCGTCAGCCATGCCCTCTCCTGCCCGTTAGGCGGTTTCCCAACCCTCCGCCACAACGAGGTACGCGACGTGACAGCTCGCCTTGCGAAGCGTGTTGGCCACCAGGTGGCTATTGAGCCACATTTGCAGCCACTCACTGGAGAGCAGCTCCGGTACCGTACTGCTGTGGGCGACGACCAAGCCCGCCTTGACGTGGTGGCTAGTGGTATTTGGGGAGGGCGGTTCGAGCGCACCTACATTGATGTCCGGGTGTTTAACCCTTTTGCGTCCTCGAATCGCCTCAACTCACTTGCTGCTAGCTACACCCGTCACGAAAAAGCCAAGCGCCGTGCCTATGAGCAGAGAATCCGAGAAGTGGAACACTCCAGCTTTGTTCCCGCCGTGTTCTCCACTACGGGAGGCATGGGGAAATCTGCCACCTCTCTGTACAAGAGGATAGCGTCCCTCATCGCCGACAAGACCGGGGAGGCCTACAGTGCCGTGATGGCTTCGATCCGGTGTCAAATCAGCTTTGCCTTGGTCCGATCCAGTGTGATGTGCCTGAGGGGTGCTAGGCGGCTCTATGCACCGGTCTTTGCTGCGGACTCAGCTGCTCTTGTTGTTGCCGAGGCGGCTATCCCCTGTTGAGGTTGATGGCCGTGCTCATTTATACCATGTTCTCATTTCTGCTTTTCGTGTCATTCTTGCTTCTTGTGTTTGTTTGTTCTCCTCTAGTTCTCTTATGTTCGCGGAGAAGGCGGAGAGCCGGAACACAGTACCTCTTATTTTTAATTTTTTTTAATTACTTACTTTTTTTACCAGGCGTGGGCCATCCCCTGATCATAGGTGCCAAACATTTTTAGTATAATAAAAAATAAAAATAAACAATTTTTAATGTAAACGAAATACGACTCGTACACGTACAGTAATGTACATCTGTGATCACGTGATGTACGTCTCGATCGAGTGGCGAAAAATACTGACAAAAATTAATATTGAATGCACGCCATGATCCAGTCCTTTCAATCTTTGGTCCGGAGTTTGGTTTGTATACCGTGAATGACATGATGTAGTACGGTCTTGTTATTCCTGCGAGAGAGACTGCACTGGTAGATCTGTAGATCTCTACATAGGCCACAGGGTCGTGCATATAGTCGCTGTTTCCTTGCAATAAAGTCAGTACTAGTACTCTCATCCTAGCTCTGGGCGTCATCAAGGTCCTATTGGCTATTGACGTATGTAGTGGAATCATGTAGATGCTTCATTCCCAAGTCCTCATCACTCACCAAGACTGGACCAATTTGACTGAATAGTTTCTATGCTGAACATCTCTCTCCAGCTATATCGCACAGGTGAGAAAGAAAAACTGGTACTTCAAGTTGCCACTCGCGGCACACCATTTTTTCATTGAAATCTGGCCGTGACTGGACTGTTTGGCTAAGAAGCTCAGCTGCGCTTCTGCATACATGTACTAACATTTAAAATTTACTGTCCAGGTGTGAACGACTGAGTGTGTTTCAGCGATTATCTAAAGGGGATGGTGAAAATTTTATATTTCAGAGTCCGTATAGTTTGGGGCGCGGAGTCGAATGGTCTTTGTCCGAGGAGGCTGCGGTCCATGGTTCGTTAGATATGCCCAATCGAACATGTGCGAATTTGAGCGCACAGTCATCCGGATCCAGGTGATGACGTCACAGAGTGCAGCCAGGTAGCCACACCATCTATTTCGTGTACACAATGGCCATTGTTCGGAACGCGTTCGATTGGGGAACTGTTTGTCGCAGCGTCTTCAGACCAAGACCATTGGACTCAGTGTTACAAACACTACGTACACTGTGTATGTGGTTTCCAGCTTGGCAAATCTTGAAGGGGAAGTATACCCTGAAATCAAATGTTCACCAGTTGTAGTCTTCGGGGTGCTGAGTCGAATGGTCTTGGTCCGAGGACGCTGAGACGCTCCCTTCCTCCTTTATTCCCAATCGAATTCGCGCACTTCCACTGAAACTGGGTGACTGCGCCCTACTAGATAGGGATTTGCATGGAAAAAGTCACTAAAAACGCCGTTTTGTTCTTATAAAAGCACGGATGACCGCAATTGGTCCATATGTTGTAGTCTTTTGGCCCCTGAGTCGACTGGTTTTGGTCCGAAAAGGCTGCGATGCAGCGTTCGGCCCTTGTTCCCAATCGAACACGGCTGAGTAAGCAGTCACGTGCTCATGCGTACACAAGTCGCCTGGTCACCGTGCCTGCAGGCTACAATTTTCACATCAAAGTTCAACTCAAAGGTTCAAAATAGGGAGTCGTAAGAGGCTTTTACGACTCCCTGGTTCAAAGTTTCAACTCGAGTGACATAAACGGGCCCAAACAGGCTGTAAATGAGCACGTGACCGCTTACTCAACCGTGTCCGATTGGGAATAAGGTCCGAACGCTGCATCGCAGCCCTTTCGGACCAAAACCAGTTGACTCAGCGGCCAAAAGACTACAACATATGGACCAATCGCGGTCATCCGTACTTTTATAAGAACGAAACGGCGTTTTCAGTGACTTTTTCCATACAAATCCCTATCTAGTAGGGCGCAGTCACCCACTTTCGGTGGAAGTGCGCGAGTTCGATTGGGAATAAAGGAGGAAGGGAGTGTCTCAGCGTCCTCGGACCAAAACCATTCGACTCAGCACCCCGAAGACTACAACTGGTGAAAATTTGATTTTAGGGTATACTTCCCCTTTGAGGTTATCCCGTCTTTTAACCGTTTCCGAATTGGACTTTGCAGGCCGCGCTGGCCTTTGCGTGCATGCTAGGCTGTACTGTAGACGTGCTGTCAGTAAAGTCATCACACACGGAACATGACTACTCCCGCACTGCCGTGCTACGTTAGTCGTGTGGTAGATCAACAAGAGTCAAGTAAAGAGACCAGTCAAGAAACGGACTTGTCATGTACTGCACTGGTATCAGTCGTATGTAATGTCAGGGAAGGTGCGTTTCTCCTTGCCGGTGGTTGTGCGTTGAGAAAGATTTTTTTGTTCTCCACGTGGAATAGCCCAGATTCATTTATGCTACAACGATGAGTCCACAACCGTGACAAGTGACGAAACAATGAACAGCTCGTGCCCGTGGTTCAAAGAGATTGCACTGTTCTCCAATCGTGCAGCGTCCGAAATATGCCAAGTTCACACCAAATTAAATCCGGCAGTATATGGCAGGCCACTAGAGTCGGTATTGAACAACATTTAGAGCACTCGCATCACTCTTCTCCATTTTGATGACTCTGCTCTCCAGAGATCTGATAATTGTATCAGCATCATCTGCAATAGCTGCTGCTGCTTTGTCATCAGTCGCAAACGCGGCAGCGCTCACTCTTGACCGGCCTGTGTGGCCATATCTTGAAATTTTCTTCAGCAGAATACCGAAGTTCTCAGCCCCAGACCGAACTCATGAAGTTCAGCCTGCATCCTCACTCTCACCTGGAGTTACGTCTTCGGGGTCGCTTGCACCAACTACTATCGATCGCCAAATCATTTGAAATAGCATTGACACTAGTATTGCGTTGAAACACTCCTTTATTGCGTTGAAGCACTTCTTTTGACCTAGCTGCACGCTATGACGTTGCAGAGGCCGCATGACGTCATGGCGCAGCCCCCCCCCCCCCTCCGAAACTCAGTTTTTCAAACGGAAATATCTCCAGAACGCTTTGTCGGAGACATATGGGACCAACACCATTCGACTCAGCGCCCCAAACTCTACGGACGCTGAAATTTAAAATTTTCACCGGACTTCCCCTTTAATTTAAAGAGGAAGTACACCCTAAAATCAAATTTCCACCAGTTGTCGGCTTCGGGTTGCTGATTCGAATGGTCTTGGTCCGAGGAAGCTGAGACGCTCCCTTCCTCCTTTATTCCCAATCAAACTCGCCACTTCCACCGAAACTGGGTGACTGTGCCCTATTAGATGGGAATTTGTATGCACAATGTCACTTATGGCGCCATTTTGTTTTAATAAAAAAAACCTAATCAATATAGCTTTTCGGCTGTTTCCTTTTCATGTATATAATATTCTCCTTCTTTTACCATGGTTGGCTATCACCCACATCTTGCCGTTTTGGCTGCCATCGGAAGCCATAAGATGTTGAATAAGTAAATATATAAATAAAAATAAAAGCACGGATGACCGCGATTGGCCCATATGTTGTAGTCTTTTGGACGCTGAGTCGACTGGTTTTGGTCGTACACCAGTTACCTGGTCACAGTGCCTGCAGACTGCAACTTTAACACCAAGGTTCAACTAAAGGGTTCAAAGGTTCAACTCTAGTGAATGACAGGAACGAGCCCAAACAGGCTGTAAGTTGACGGTGACCATGTGACAGGTGCACGCATGAGCACATGACCGCTTACTCAACCGTGTTGGATTGGGAATAAGGGCCGAACGCTGCATCGCAGTATTTTCGGACCAAAACCAAAAGACCTGTAACGCTTGTACAGTAGATTATAAACACACTGTAGTGTGTGCCTCGGGTGTCTTCCAGCAGACTTACGTCGGGTGTCTTCCAGCAGACTTACGTCGGGTGTCTTCCAGCAGACTTACGTCGGGTGTCTTCCAGCAGACTTACGTCGGGTGTCTTCCAGCAGACTTACGTCGGGTGTCTTCCAGCAGACTTACGTCGGGTGTCTTCCAGCAGACTTACGTCGGGTGTCTTCCAGCAGACTTACGTCGGGTGTCTTCCAGCAGACTTACGCCGGGTGTCTTCCAGCAGACTTACGTCGGGTGTCTTCCAGCAGACTTACGTCGGGTGTCTTCCAGCAGAGTTACGTGGGGTGTCTTCCAGCAGACTTACGTCGGGTGTCTTCCAGCAGAGTTACGTGGGGTGTCTTCCAGCAGACTTACGTCGGGTGTCTTCCAGCAGACTTACGTCGGGTGTCTTCCAGCAGAGTTACGTGGGGTGTCTTCCAGCAGACTTACGTCGGGTGTCTTCCAGCAGACTTACGTCGGGTGTCTTCCAGCAGACTTACGTCGGGTGTCTTCCAGCAGACTTACGTCGGGTGTCTTCCAGCAGACTTACGTCGGGTGTCTTCCAGCAGACTTACGTCGGGTGTCTTCCAGCAGACTTACGTCGGGTGTCTTCCAGCAGACTTACGTCGGGTGTCTTCCAGCAGACTTACGTCGGGTGTCTTCCAGCAGACTTACGTCGGGTGTCTTCCAGCAGACTTACGTGGGGTGTCTTCCAGCAGACTTACGTCGGGTGTCTTCCAGCAGACTTACGTCGGGTGTCTTCCAGCAGACTTACGTCGGGTGTCTTCCAGCAGACTTACGTCGGGTGTCTTCCAGCAGACTTATGTCGGGTGTCTTCCAGCAGACTTGCGTCGGGTGTCTTCCAGCAGACTTACGTCGGGTGTCTTCCAGCAGACTTACGGAGCTGCGAGTTTGAATCCACTCGCCTAAAAAATAGGGGAATCTTTCCATCATTCGCCTCCCGGTTCCCACCTGAAGGCTGTAAGGGCCCCGGTCTGGTATGCAACTAAGAGTGGCGGAACCGCTCTAGCGATAGTGCCGAAATGATATCATAAGTTACACTTCTGTGGACACTCAAATCTGTTGCCCCCCCCCCCTCTCCCTCTCATTTTTCTACAGCGATACATAATACTTCCGCGACTCTGTTTCAGCACACAATGTGTGATCTACAGTGTACGCTGTACAAGGAGTGATGTTGATTTGATGCTGTCTATTGAGTTGTGCTGATCAGTCACTGTACTGTTTTGTTTTGTGCTATTGTTATGTGCTGTAGGAGGTGGTGGAGATCAGTCTTGCTGAAGAGAATACACCAGCACAGCATGTTTGCTTCAAAGTTACGTGGTAATCTCAAGAGTGTCAGTTACTTTGTTCAGCATGGCTATGGTGTGAGCACAGTAGCCTCGTCAAAACTCAATGTTACTGGCAAGTTGATATCCGCTCAGGCATCACCACACTCCATTCCAGGTGTGAGGTATCAGTCGCACTTGTCTGGTAATCATGCAACCACTGTACGAGATGCCTACAACGCAATTGATTCAATCTTCGATAGAATGAACAAGACACGCACATTTCAAGCTATTGATTTGATATCTCAATGTGCTCTTATTCAACGGCATGTAACTGAACTACGGAATCCAAACAAGGTTAGGAATATCCTACATGCTTGTGCTCTGGTCACGGAGCGTGACCAAGCTGGCAGTATCTGCACTTAATGAACTAGCCAGTCTACCCACTGATATCTGGCGAGATTACAAGAATCAAGAGCACCTGAGATGGGTACTGGACTGGGCAGCAAAGTGTCGCTGTACAAGTCCAGTGTTCACGAAGTTACTACAACAGCAACTTGATGTCCTGTGCCTTGATCAATGCAGAGATGTTGCCCAGTGTACCCATGCACTGTTTATGTTGAATTCACCCGACCGTTGCCTGGCGCAAAACTTGCTGAATCGCTATTTGACCATACACAGTACAGGTGATCCAAAGTATCGTCATAATGTAGTACTCTCACTACTTCTCTACTGTACACTGTGTGGTGTAGAGTGCAGTGCCTTGCTGAAGCTGATCAGTGTTGATCAACTGATACAGAGTAAGTCTATTCTCTGAGTAATGTTTGTTGTATAGAGACTGTAGTGTCTGTTGTTGGTTGTGGTGTTTCTAAACACATGTAGCTGCCGTGAAAGAACACTGCAATACAGATGAACAGCGATACTCTTTTATTTCTCACCTCACTGTTCAAGTACATTTAAAGCTATATTTTTGATTTAAAAAATATGGTGTCTATGGTTTAAGCTACACTGTATCCAGTACAGACATGTGTGCTTTCACTTCCGTGTCATAGAAATGTTTGATCCATAGTCATGACCACTGAGGGGGGGGGGGGGGTACCGTATATTCTCTATTATAAGCGCTGTGCTTATATATTTTCAACACCCCTCTACCCTGTGCTTATATTGGAGACCGTGCTTTTATTTTTTCAACCAATACATCCATACAGAGCAAGAAGAAATACATGCTAGATATCATGCATGCAGCATTGATTTCCACCAAGACCGTGCTAATAATAGAGACTGTGCTCATAATGTTTCAAACGGTGCTCACAGTGTGCTAGTATTAGAGACTGTGCTAGTAATGGAGACCTGTGCTTATAAAAAGAGAATATATGGTAAATAGGTCTGATTTGATGAATTTCAGAGCCTAAAAGCCTATTGTGTACTTTGGCTTGGTGTTTTAGCAAGTTGATGTGAAAGTCAGTGATGATTGTCTTCAGATGTCACCTTTCTGTTCATAGTCATGTCGCTACTAGTCAATCTAATATAATAGTGGTGTCCATGTGGTGGTCTGTATCTGTCTGTTTGTGTGTGTGTGTGTGTGTCCCATATGGTACAGTGGTATGTGCAGCGATTTCCAGTCGATAGGTTGCGGGTTCGATTCCCGATGATTATGGTCACACATGTCTTTCTTCTCTTTGTCAGACCCCTCCTGACTTTTCTTTCATTCTCCTGGGTGGTTACCTACAGCCAGTGCATGCCGGAGTATGTGGTGTGATGTGTGTGCGTGAAAAAAATGAAAAAGACCAAAAGGTAGGGATTCACTGGCCAGAAAAAGCCACTTCATAGCTGTGTGGTGTAGACCAGGCTGAATAGTGGCGGTCAATTCTTCAGCCTCACAAGCTGTAGAATGGTGCAATCCCAGCACAAGCTGCTATGGCTTCTGCTGTAGCATCGCTATCATCGCCTCTGGCGATGGGCGTCCAATGGTGTGTGTGTGTGTATGTGTGTAGGTGTGTGGGTGTGTAGGTGTGTGGGTGTGTCTGTGTCTGTTTGTGTCTGTCAATCTAGGCGTCTGTCCCTCTGTCTATCATATTGCCTTTTTCTCTCTTTTTTTGAATCTTTTGTGTGTTAACAGAATGCAATGGCACACAGTTGCAACTGCTACTTTTGCACAACACTCTCCCTGTTACTGCTAATCAACGACAACAGATAATTGACAAGTGTTCTGTGTGGTTCCAGGAAGATGTGAAAAGTCAGCAATCAGGTCGAATGTATGATATGCTGTCATACTTCATTGGCCCAAAGTACACCACTGGCATGTCTCTGGTTGATGGTGTGGAAGTTCGGGCATTGTGCATATTCAACCAAGACCATGCGCTAGTGGAGACTGACGCGTATCCAGCTAATGTATACAATGGTGTATCAGTAGATATGACTGCAGCTACACGTCATGGTTTCAGTGTTGTGGCCTGCCTGGGTGTGAAGGATACACAACTACTACGTCATCCTGGTCATGTTCCCAATGGTTATCGTGTTCTTGAAGCATCGGCACTGAAGTGGCAAGGATGCTACTGTATTCCGGTGAGTTTAAAGTAGGAAGGAGCAGGACACATAGATATGGCACAGCTGGCTGAAATGTAAAATGGTGTTTTTTTGTATTCCTGGACTTTGCCCATGAGATCTGTATGATGCAAGCAGCTGTATGAAAGAATTAGTATCCACTGTACAGGGTTTTAGCCAGGAATAAATTGTAGGGGGGGGGGTAAGGAACAGCAAACAGTTCACCCATTTTTCCATGTTCCACTATTCCCTACCCAGGGCCGGCGCCACTGGTACGGCCGGTATGGCCATGGCCGTACCAATTTCCCAAAAAGTCGGTCCACGTGGAACGTCCGAAACTGGGGGAAAAGGTTTCGATGTATGACTTTGCACAGGGAGTCGTCCAGAGTGCAGGATTTGGCGTCTAAATTCCAAAAAATTCTGGGGGAGGACCCCACACCCCCTTTAAAGATGGCCCTTCGGCCGCACCGCTCCGCGGAAGCCGCCTCCGGCCCTGGCCTTGTCAAACACACAAAAGTCGAAAAATGAGTCGGGTGGTGCGCTACAAGAGTGAGGGGGGGGGGCATGAGAATAGGGCGGCGCTGACCCCACCCCTTTAGCTAGAACCCTGCTGTATCTAAGGAGTCGCTTTGCCGGTGTGCTGAATCAGATCATCTGGAGAGCACATGTGGTGGGGAGTTTGGACATTGATATTGAATCAATTGGAAGACAACTGTTGGTCATTCTCTCTCATTTTACTGTTCATCATCATGTATCTGTATAGTAGATCATAGGAGTCAAAAGAATCAACTTGCACATAGTTATGGCTTTGTCAGTGTTGGACATCTGCATGAACATCAGTTTGACCAGGCTGTATACATCTTTAAGAGTGCATTATCATGATGTACTCCTGGTACAGTGGTAGTACAGTGTATGTACATGTACAGACAAAGTCACATGAGTGCAGAGAGGTGTAACATTACCATGATTACAGGACGGGTAGTACAGATAACAACTAAAAGGCAAGTTCAAGATTGCCTGGCTACAGTTCATGTAGCAGCATGTTATTTTATACACGTACGCCAGTTATTGTAGCAGCGTTTGTGTGCGTGTGTGTGTGTTTGTGTGTGCGTATATGTGTGTGTGTGTGTGTGTGTGTGTTTGTGTGTGCGTATCTGTGTGTGTGTGTGTGTGTGTGTGTGTGTGTGTGTGTGTGTGTGTGTGTGTGTGCGTGTGTGCGTGTGTGCGTGTGTGCTTTACACCCTCTATTGCACAGATGATCCTTGAACACGGGGCAGCAAAGACCCAGAAAAGTAGCCGATTTGTTCCTGATCTTATGATCAATTATCCCGATCACATTCCAGTGTTCAAACATCTACTGGCACCCAAGCAGTGATGGTCACCGGCAGTCACATCTTACAGCGTACTTTGGTAAGGAACTGTTTGTTTTTCCCAGCTTGTTAGGATCAACGAGAGGGCTTGAAAGCCTAGGAGCCTTCGTCATGCTTTGTTTTTGTCTAGGTCATCACGTGTGTTATTCAAACTGATAGAAACGTCTTTGCAAAACGATTATCGGGCACATGTTTTGCATTGCAAAGACGTTTCTATAAGTTCGCACAACAACACAATTTGATGACTTAGGTACTTCCTCCGTATACAAAAACTTCGTGACTTTTTTTTGAAAGCTGCGCACAGCTCTGAAATTGTTCCGTTTGACTTGGAATAACACTCGTGGCATTGTCTAACCTGTTTACAAGCTATATACAAAGAAAAAAGCAACTCAGACGAATGAGATTGAGTTTTTTCAGAGTCTCCGTCGCTCATGTCATTGTCACCTGACGACGCTGACTCCGCATCGCCAACAGTCGCTGCTTCCGCTCGCATTTCGTTCAGATTCTTGTCACCTGCAGTGATGATCCGACGCTGGACTTTGGCTACGTCCTCTTCATCTCTAGAGATGTGTACGAATCGGTGTCAACTATATTCAGTTGTTCCAACCCCCAACCTCCATTATGCCGTGAAACGAGTCGTACAAACACATCCCCACGCTTCGCATTTTCTCGCCAGGAAAATCCTCCCAAGCCTTCTACAATGGCTTCGAGGAGGTCCCTGCGATTCCCCTTGGCGACAAAGGAGGCGTCTGACTGGAGAGAGGCGAAGAAAGCCAGGCCATCGACATTCTGATCCTGAGTCTGCGCTGGTTGCACCACGACTGAAATGTTTCATCTTGCCGTGCGAGCGAAACAAATCGATGTTCTCACGCTGCGTAGATATCATGGATATGGGGCCGCGCACCGCAAGTACGATCCTGGCCAGTTTCAGGGCAGCGAGTGCCGCGTGACTTCGTGTTCCAGCCACGAGCTACACTTCGTCACTGTGTCAGTTTCGAGCAAGTAAGTGTTAGTTTTTTTTCATTTGACTCTTGAGTTTCTGTCGGCAACGTCCTCACACGCATGACGTACGTGGAGAATCTGTTCGGGATCAACCAAACTCACCTCGACATGGACGTGGGTTGTCGATGACAGCCTTTGGCGCCGTTCGTTGAGCAGGTTCTTGCTCAAAAACACCGTTAAAAAAAAGTCACGAAGTTTTTGTATACGGAGGAAGTAAGTATAAAGCATAGCGAGGGCTCCTGGACTTTATGCCGTCTCGTTTTCCAGGTTGGGATTTGAACCGCACCTATCGCCCTGCATGCATTCCCTCGATACACTTCATATACATACACATTCTACCAAGTTACTTCACGTTACAGTTCTGCCGTTGAAAGCCCTATTTAAATTTCTGGCCAGCTTTCTCTGTCGGTACGGTACTGGACTTGCACCAGGCATGGTGCATCACGTGATGACGATTAAAGCATTGTGGACCCTTGAGACGTTGACGGCCATTTGCCATGCTGTCACCTTCAACCATCCACCGTATTTTCCGGAGTATAAGCTGCACGGGAGTATAAACCGCACCCCAATTTTTTGGCCACGAAATACTGTGTCAGTTGTGTGCTTAGTGATCACATTTTCTGACTGCTTATTATCTTGTTACAGTAGTGAACAGTTACTCATAACCAAGAGTGCATGAAAACCAGAGTGTGCAGCTCGGATGGGTTGCTGTCACGGCGGAATTCTGTGATTACATCATTTTAGTGATGTAGTGCGCGCAAGCAGGATTTAAGCAGGTCTCTTTCTGCACAACTGAAGCTCAGTTGAACGCACAACGCCATTTCCCGCCTCAGATCTGCGCCCAATATGGTGTAATCACGGAATTCCGCCGTGACAGACACCCATAGTAGAAAAAGCTCCAAGCTGCACACTCTGGGTTTCATGTACTCTTGTCATAACTCGTAACCCATGTGTCCTTTCTCTTTTTTACACCAACAACACCTCTTATTTTTCTTCTGATTCCAGTCTCTCTCTCTGCAATTGTCTTCTGTTTCCTCAGACACCGTCCTTTGTTTTGGAAGTGGCTCCGAGTCTGCTGGGTGGATGTCGTATCATTACCAAGCACACCAATGCACGGGACCGGTTGATCTTGAACTTGAGCGGGGAAAGCAAGTATTCTATTTAGTCCTGCACACTAACGTATAGTCCCTCTCTGCTCGGAATTGATGTCGTCTGCCTTGCTTATTGGAATTTGGAACAGCCAAGGCAGTGACAAACAATTTTTACACATGTATGTAATTCTTGATGCAAGACAATTTTTTTACACTTCATCTTGCCCGGAATTGCTCCCACCGATGATTTTCACGGTCGGTCATTCTGGTGTGTTGTAGATGTTGTCACTTTTGACTGAAGCTACAGGTGGTACTTGCACCAAGTGAAGCTTTTGCCTCAGTGCCCTGCAAAGCAGAGTCGGATAGGATAACTAGTGACTACTGTATTTCTCAACGTAGCCGCTTACGACCTTGTCACAGTGTCTGTTCTTCTCATAATTATGTACATTGCTTGCTGACTGCCGCATCTGTTGTGATCTCAAACATGTGTGCTGTCTCCTGGCTCATTTTGAAACATGGTTTATGTCAGTATTGTTAAAATGTGTGCTGATAATACTACAAATCATTGTTTTCAACTTTTTACGTTACTACTGCTGTGAACATAGAAGTCCAGTGGAATGACCGGGCCGCGGGGACGGCACCCTGGTCTTACTTGCTTAGTTTGCACACGCACTGTGTAACACTTTAAAAACATGGACCAGCACTGGTCACGGCTGCACGGCCAGCGCCTCGTGTCCGCTTGACTTTGCAGCGGATTTCAATGTCCGCTACGGGGTAGCATACTGTATTGTTTTGATATTGCTATGTCACAGCCAACCCTCCTGAGTTATGACTATGCTGCCCTGGACGGCTCCTGGACTCGGCGTGTGATTTGATATTTTATGGTGTATCATCTGTAGACGATAGCCTCGGATTACGAAGAAAATGTACGGGTCGGTCACACGGTCAGGCTTGATCTGGCTGATCCAAGCCCTCTGAACCTCGTTTGGTGTGTGCAAGAGTTCATCAACCATGGCTTAGGTGTTTCCTCTTGTGTTCATTGCACTGCAAGTTGAAGACCTTGGCGCGGGCTTGGCGGAAAATGCTTTCAAAACACCCGGCAGAATTTAGTACTGGACATGATTTTTTATTTAAAATTTGCTTCCGAAGTGACCGGTTAGAGATTTTATCGCTCTGGATTGGAGGTGTCTCTCTGCAGATTGAGAGCCGATTTTGATTTGAAGTTTTGGATATTGGCTTCGTGGACCACTACCCGGCCAGTTGTGGACACGCCATTGCTGTGGATTATTTCCTTCGCTCGATATTGCAGCGTGAAAGAGGCTGGCTTGGCTTTTCGGTGGCCATTGTTTGCTTCGTCTTGCTGTGTCTTCTTCCTCCTGCGCTACCGAGGTCGGTCCCAGGCGTGAAGGCGTTGCTGGCGCTAGCCAACGCTAGCCAACGCCCGAACACTTCCTGCTGGAGTGGTGTTCAGAGTCAGTCACGTGATGGCCCTAGATCTCAATATTGACCTGGCGATCCTGGAGTTTTCGCAGCTTCAGAAACTAGCTGAGCAGAAGGACATACCTAATTCGTGTGACCTAGCACGCCCAGACTTGGTTGCTACTCTGCGCGAAAATGGTATTGGCACTTATCCCCAGGTTCGGCGCCCAGCCAATTCCCTGCCTGTGGTGAGAAGTGCCTGCCATCAATGGTACCTTGCCTTGAGAAACTTCAGGATTGCATCGCCAGTCTAACACGTGAACTTGCTGCAGTTTCAGCAACCAGAGATGCAGAGCTAACGAGCTTGCGAAATGATTTACTATCCACACGGGAAAAGGTGAACCAGTTGGAGAACGTTGTTGGCTGTGGTGTGTTAGTCCAGCTTTGCAGAACTCAGAAGACCATGGATCTGGCTGGAGCAGCTCAATGCTCACATACGTCATCCCTCCAAAGCGACAAAGCATCAACAGTAAAAGAGAATGGACAGCTAGCCAAGACACCAGACGTTCCTAGACCATATGCCCAAGTTCTAGCAAATGGGCTCATGGCTGAAACTTCTAGTAGTAGTGGCAGCACTGCCGATAAGGACGACGTATCCTTTCAGCCTGTCATGTCAAGGAATCAGCGCCGTCAAGCCAGGAGGATGACACGGATCCAACCTCACCCTACTGAAATAGAAGAGGTTGGACTCCCTGCAAACAAACAGGCAAAGGAAGAAGCACCACAAAGAAATCCCATCCGTCGCCAGGTATCATCACGTTACGCCAAACCAAACCAGAGTGTCCCTGGGTCAGTTCCGTCTCTGGATGCTGCACCCCGCAGTCCGCGAAAGGTCTTCTACTTGGGAGATATTCCGTTTGGTTGTGAGGCAGCGAGTATAGCAGACTGGTGCAGGGAACGCGGTGTTGAAATAGTGCAGTGCTTAATATACTCCTCCGAGTATTTTCGAACTGCCTCCGCCAGAGTGACTGTCGAGGGTAAGGATGCCGATACTGTATGCCGGCACACCTTCTGGCCAAACACAATGGGTCATACCGTGAGGGAATGGCGTTTCTATTCTGACCAGCCCACCGGACAATATCTCTCACAATGAATAGTAACCCTGTCTTCCCCAACACTACTGGAACACTGAATCCACTGGCCCGTCTCTTTTATCCTCCCATCCATACTGCCCTTACCATCCTTTCCCTCAACTGCCGCTCAGTGGTCAACAAAGTAGCGGAACTCCCTGTTATGTGCAACATCTACTCTCCGGAGGTTATATGTTTGTGTGAAACATGGTTGTCCCCTGCCAACCTCTTCTCATTGGCAGGCTACACAGTTCATCGACGGGATCGTCCCACCTCTAATATTCGATCGGCCAATCCTACCAGAGGTTATGGTGGGGTAGCCATATTGGTGAAAGATGGCTCCTTTACATCGGTGAAGCCTCTGGCGAATCTTCAGCAACCGGGCTTGGAGGCCATCTGGCTTGAGCTTCGCACAGCCAACTCACCCCAACGTCCACTCGTAGTCTGCGCCACCTACCGACCTCCTGGTGGTACCCTGGCGGATATTCAGGCATATTCTGATGGTCTGGAAGACTGCCTTCTGTCGCTTGATCTACCTGTATCCACACTACTCCTCACCGGTGACTTCAATGCCCATAACTCGAGCTGGTTGGCTGGTGATCGGACAACCCCGGTGGGTCAGTGCCTTGAAACCGCCTTCAGGTGCTTCGGATTAGAGCAACTGGTCAACTTCCCTACGCACTGGAGCCCAAGTGGCCGGTCATCTTGCTTGGACCTCATCGTCACAAATTCACCCCAGCAGTTCCTCTCCGTTGATTCAGCCGCTCCACTGGGTAGCTCTGACCACGTGCAGCTCATCTGTCGAGTCCGTCTCCCTGTCACGTTCAAAAATCCAACCCTACAACATCTCTTCCTCCCAACATCTACCCCTACACCCCCAGGTTATAATTTCAAGTTGGTGCCACGTTGCGTATGGGATGACCTGAATGCTGAACTTGCTGATGTCCACTGGAAATGTCACCTCCGTAGCTCGCACGTGGATGACGCTCTTTCGTCTTTCCACTCTATTCTTAGCAGGGCCATGGAGAAGCACCTCGGGTACTTCTCCCGGCGTCCACTCTCCCCCTCATGCCGACGTTTAGGTCAGCCACCTTGGGTTGATGCCCCCCTCCGTGCCGCCATTAAGGCAAAGCACGATTTCTACAGCGTGTGTAAGAAATACCCAACCCAGCTTAACATGCATGTATATCGATCTCAACGGAACTTGGTGAAGAGTCTGACTCGATCGAAATACCGGGGATACATTCGGTCCGTACAAGCTACGCTGCAGGACAAAAACCGCCCATCACTGTTTCAGTTCGTGAGCAAATTAAAAAATCATAAAGTATCTCGTGACATACCGACACTCACCATTAGTTCTACACAGCAGGCTACTACCTCTTCAGCTAAAGCCACTGCATTGAACTCTCAGTTCGCCTCAGTGGCCGTGCCTGATGACCCTTCTCTACCCATTCCCCCCATTGCCGAGGAGTCGGGTGAGGCTGACCGCCTCACATCTGTCTTTACTACGACTGCTGCCATCCGACGTTACATTCGAAAGCTCCCGTCTGACAAGGCGCCAGGCCCAGACGGCATCACTAATCTGGTATTAAAGTCCCTTGCGCCCTCAATAGCATACCCCTTATGTCTGATTTTCAACCTATCATTCCGCACTGGTCGTTTTCCCTCTGCATGGAAAACAGCTAATGTTATACCGATCTACAAGAAAGGGTCCCGCCACGAAGCATCAAACTACCGTCCGATATCTCTACTGTCCTGTGTTTCCAAACTCTGTGAGCGCGTTTTCTACGACCAATTGTACTGTCATGTCTCGTCACGTTTGAGTTCAGCTCAGTCCGGATTTCGCAGAGGCGATTCTACCACCCTCCAGCTGACGCGCCTGGTGCAATTAGTGTGTCGACATCGGGATGCTGGAGACCTAATCGGGATCTGTTTTTTCGATCTTGCCAAGGCCTTCGATACCGTCTGGCACCGGGGGCTCTTGGCCAAGCTTCGTGGATCGTTTACTGTAGACAGCAATCCCCTGCTATGGCTGACATCTTACCTAACTGGGCGAACGCAGTACGTCACGGTACATGGGACGTCCTCAGCCGACACAACAGTACTATCCGGAGTTCCCCAGGGTTCCATCCTCGGCCCCCTTCTTTTTATCTTATACGTCAATGATCTGCCCGCAGCTGCCCCGGGCACATCACTATTCGCAGACGACACAACGCTCCTACGGGCATCTCCTAACATCACTGGCCTGATGAGTAACCTAGCTAACGGGATTCAAAGAGTAATTTCCTGGATGTCGTCTTGGCGGTTATCGCCCAATCTGTCTAAAACTAAAATCATGCTCTTTCCTTCTCAGCCTGATGTTCCGCCCCTCCTCCATCCCACTTTCCCCCAGCCTATAGGCATAGTCTCCAGCCATAAGCATCTTGGCATTTTCATTGACTCTAATCTTTCATGGGAACCCCACATCGATTACATATGTAAACGATCAAGTTCATCTTTAGGAATCCTCTCTTCTCACTGTTACCATCTCCCAATCTCTTGTAAACTCCTCTTTTACTCAGCTTACATACGCCCCATTTTTGATTATGCAGATACTGCTTGGGCTGGAATTTCCACAACCCGTGCTGAAAAGCTCGAAATTCAGCACAAAAAAGTTCTAAAAATCCTCCTCCGGAAACCCCGCATGCTCCCATCTTCCACCCTTTATGCCCTTGCTCACACTACCCCTTTGTCTAAGAGACGTAATTCACATCTTGTCACCCTTATCCATTCTCTCAAACTCAATCTGTGTCCACCTCACCTCCACTGTTTCAACTGGTTTTCTTCCCGTAGCACGAGAAACTCCCTTTCCCTTCCGAAACCCAAGTCCTCCTTTCTACTTCACTCTCCCCTTTTCACTGCGTACTCCGCGTGGCTGGCACTTCCCCAAGAAGCTAAGGACCTTTCTTCCCTCCGCCTTTTTAAGAGCCTTGTCGCGCCTTGACTTTGATTTTGTGTTTCTCATTTTGTTGCAATCACTACTTATCCATGCCGGTTCCTTTTTTCTTCTCCTCCCCTTCTCCCTTCCTTGCCGTGGTTGGCTAACACCCTCTCTCTTTGTATTGGCCGGTGTTCTCACTGTGCTATGAGATGCTGCAATAAATAAATAAATAAATAATAAATGATGTTATGCTCAAGTAACAAGTTACTGTAGAACGGTTAATTTTAGCGACTATTAATTTTAGCGTTTTCCCATTGTCAACCGGTTAGCGACGTTTTATTTTAGCGATTTGCAGCGATTTTACTCACGGATCACCAGTGCACTACTTTAGCACTAATGTCTCAACGGATTAGCGACTTGAAACTTTAGCGAAAAGGAGTCGATCGCTAAATTCGCTAGGGTTTTTACGTCGCTAAAGTTACCCGTTCTACAGTAGCAGAGTGTTATGTGTGGTGTTCGTTGCCCACGCGTGCACGGCGCAATTATCCGTGCGCTGGTCGGATTTCTCTGGCCAGACTTTACTTTTCTGGTACATAATTATTTCCAGCGGCATTATCCGCCCAAGCCTATATCGTGACGAGTATGTGAGTACAACCGTCCTGCAAGTGCACTGCCCGCCGACACTGGCGACAGGTTACACACACTGTGACGAGTGTGACGGTAGATATCACAACAACAAAATAGTGTGGAAAAAATAAATAATGTGAAAAAATAAATACCGTACTGGCAATATATGTTGCCGCAGTGAGGCCATGAAGCGTTACATTGGCACATGTTTGCCGCACGCAGGGCGTTACATGCAAAGTCGCACAGGAGCCGTTACACAGGTTTCTATATTGCCGCAGTCCTTTTTTTGCTATTGCCGCATCACTTTTTTGCTATTGCCGCATCATTTTTTTGCTTTTGCCGCATCATTTTTTCTTGTGCAGTGCAAACTGCAATGAAAAGATTGCCGCACCCCGCCGGACGCGCGTTACGAACTCAACGAAAATTTGTCGCACTGGCCTGGTCGCGCGTTACGCCGCACCCCCCTGCGTTACGCGTTACGCGGCAACATATACAGTGGTGGCCAAAAGTCTTGTCCGCAGGTGGATTTCTCGGTTATATTCAACAAAATGGCACAACAAGCTGTACACCTGTCATTTTCTAGAGCAGATACAAAGTTTAGAGGAGAATATTCAAAAATATTTCCCAAAAGTATATTTTCTGTGTCCCTATCCCTAAGTATGGCAATGTGCGGCCGGACATCACTTTTGGCCAATATTGCACAATCTACAATACGCGGCGTAGAGTCAACTATTTCTCATCTAAACTGTTCTAATCCCTACAGAAACTAAGGCCAGACTCTCTGGAGTCAGCCTGTACCAATTTACTGGGCCTCCTTCGTTCTTGATCATAGCTGCCATGCGGCGCGGCATCGATTCAACGAGGCGGCGGCAGATATCCAGTGAAATCGAATATCATGCCTGCTTGCACTCAGTGAAGAGCTCACCATCGTTTTTTGCCCTCCTGCTGCCCTGGCGGTGCTGGCTGAGCATTTCCCATAGATTCTCAATGGGATTCAAACCTGGTGACTGTGGTGGCCACTCCATCACCGTCAAGTCTTGCGTCGCGCGCCATGCTTTGGTTGCCTTGGCTGTATGTTTGGGGTCATTGCCCTGCTGAAAAATAGCCTGTTCATCAGCAAAAAGGTCAGTCATGGACGGCAGCATGACATTTTGCAGAATGCCCATGTATTGGTTGGCTGTCATGATGCCCTTGACCTTGAAAAGCCGTCCAACGCGCGTCGCCGACAAGCATCCCCATACATGATATCTCCATCTCCATGCTTCACAGTACCACGCAAACAATTCAGGCTGTGTCGTTCTCCAGGCTTCCTGCGAACAAACCTCACTCCATCAGAGGCATGGAAGTTGAATTTTGACTCATCAGTCCACAGCACACGACTCCAATCTGCCACTGTCCAGTTCCTGTGGGCCTGGTCAAACTTTAGTCGTTTTTCAAATTTTTAGCCTACATGAAAGGCTTTTTCACTGCGATGCAGCCCTTCTGGCCTGCGTTCTGCAGCCTCCTGCGCACCGTTCGTCCAGACACCCGTGAATCCGTCTGCTAGGTCGTCTCAGCTCTCAGTTTCGGGCTGGTTTTGAATCTATCTGCCATATGGAGTATCTTTAGACGATGGTCGTAGCTGGCCCTGGTCACCCTGGGCCGGCCAGAACACTTCTAGTTTTCAACACGTCCATCGACATATGTTTGGCAATGACTCTACGGCACGTACGCTCGTTCAGGTCCAAAATCCTGGCAATCTGACTAGATTTTTCACCATTCTGACTCAGCTTTACAATGGCCAGCTTCGTGCTAGCATAGAGCTCTTTCCTGCCAGCCATTGGGGTCAAAACGAAATCTCTCGGTGACAAATTCACGCCAGGACAACTCCTGAAGCTCTGTGTTTGCAAGATTTCAAATTCCCGGCATGCATTGCCTGTCAAAAACTACGGTAGTACGGTACAATGTGCGTACGCATTTTTGGCCAAAAGTCATGTCCGCACGTGGCAGCCATTTGTGTGACGTAATAGGTCACGTGACATATATGACGTCATGCTTTCCCCCGAAAATCGATTGTTGACCGCATTGCATGTCATTGAAAGAATCACCAGGCCAGAATAACCAATCTCACTCAACATTCACCCATTTTTGGGTGCCGGACATCACTTTTGGCCACCACTGTACATGTATTGCCAGTACGGTAATGTGAGACCTGCTAGTACAACTTCTAATCTTTCAAGTGACGTTTCCTTTTCTACCTGGACGCCTCCTTGAGTCCTTGTTTTCCCTTTTCTCTCTAGCTCCTCTCTCTTGTGCCTTCTTGCTATTATTCACTTAAATTAATATGGGGCTAGTACATGATTGTACTTTGTAGTCTACTACCGTCGCGGACACGGCGCCCTCAGCGCGTACAGAACGCTGTGTGCAGTGCACATGTTGATTCGATGCGACCAGCACGCTGGCAGCGCATAAAATCCAGCTTATGAAGTTCTGTCACAGCTGCAGCTGTGTGTACCCGTACCCCTTATCCACGGCTGCAAGCATAGCCAGCGCCCTGGGCCCGCTAGACGTGCGACCGGATTTCCATGTCCACGACAGTAGTCACTAGTACTACTACACTGAGAAGTGCAAAAAATTCGTACATATACATCCATTATGATCACGTGATGTACGTCTCGATCGAGTGGCGAAAAATACTGACAAAAATTATTATTATTGAATGCACTCCAGTACATGTATACAGTATCTTTCAATCTTTGGTTTGTTTATACCGTGAATGACATGATAATATACTACGGTCTTGTTATTCCTGCGAGAGAGACTGCACTGGTAGATCTGTAGATCTCTACGTAGGCCACAGGGTCGTGCATGTAGTCGCTGTTTCCTTGCAATAAAGTCAGTACTAGTACTCTCATCCTAGCTCTCGGCGTCGTCAAGGTCCTATTGGCTATTGACGTATGTAGTGGAATCATGTACATGCTTTATTCCCAAGTTCTCATCACTCACCAAGACTGGACCAATTTGACTGAACAGTTTCTGGGCTGAACATCTCTCTCCAGCTATATCGCACAGGTGAGAAAGAAAAACTGGTACTTCAAGTTGCCACTCGCGGCACACCATTTTTTCATTGAAATCTGGCCGTGACTGGACTGTTTGGCTAAGAAGCTCAGCAGCGCTTCCGCATACATGTACGAACATTTACAAATTTACTGTCCAGGTGTGAACGACTGAGTGTGTTCGAGCGATTATTGAAAGGGGATGGTGAAGACTTTAAATTTCAGGGTCCGTATAGTTTGGGGCGCGGAGTCGGATCTTTGTCCGAGGAGGCTGCGGTCCATAGTTCGTCAGATATGCCCAATCGAACATGTGCGAATTTGAGCGCGCAGTCATCCGGATCCAAGTGATGACGTCATAGCGTGTAGCCAGGTAGCCACACCATCTATTTCGTGTACACAATGGCCATTGTTCGGAACGCGTTCGATTGGGGAAGCGTATGTCGCAGCGTCTTCGGCCCAAGACCATTGGACTCAGTGTTACAAACACTACATACCCTGTGTATGTGGTTTTCAGCTTGGCAAATCTTGAGGTTATCCCGTCTTTTAGCCGTTTCCGAGTTGGACTTTTCCGGCCGCGCTGGCCTTTGCATGCATGCTAGCTGTACTGTAGACGTGTTGTCAGCAAAGTCATCACACACGGAACGTGACTACTCCCGCACTGCCGTGCTACGTTAGTCGTGAGGTAGATCAACAAGAGTCGAGTATAGAGACCAGTCAAGAAACGGACTTGTCATGTACTACACTCGTATCAGTCGTATGTACAGTCAGGGAAGGTGCGTTTCTCCTTTACCGGTGGTTGTGCTTTGAGAAAGTTTTTTTTAGTTTTCCTCATGGAATAGCCCAGATTCCTTTATGCTACAACAATGAGTTCACAACCGTGACAAGTGACGAAACAATAAACAGCTCGTGCCCGTGGTTCAAAGAGTTTGCACTGTTCTCCAATCGAGCAGTGTCCGAAATATGCCAAATTCATACCAAAAAAACCGGCAGTATATGGCAGACCACTGGAGTCGGTATTGAACAACATTTAGAGCACTCGCATCACTCTTCTCCATTTTGATGACTCTGCTCTCCAGAGATCTGATAATTGTATAAGCATCATCTGCAATAGCTGCTGCTTCGTCATCCGTCGCAAACGCGACACTCTTGACCGGCCTGTGTGGCCATATCTTGAAATTTTCTTCACCAGCCGGAATACCGAAGTTCTCAGCCCCAGACCGAACTCATGAAGGTCAGCCGTGGCTGCATCCTCACTCTCACATGGAGTTACGTCTTCAGGGTCGCTTGGACCAACTACTATCGGTCGCCAAATCATTTGAAATAGCATTGACACTACTATTGTGTTGAAACACTCCTTTATTGCGTTGAAGCACTTCTTTTGACCTAGCTGCACGCTATGACGTTGCAGAGGCCGCATGACGTCATGGCGCAGCCCCCTCCGGCTCCCCTCCGAAACTCAGTTTTTCAAACGGAAATATCTCAAGAACGCTTTGTTGGAGACACATGGGACCAACACCATTCGACTGAGCGCCCCAAACTATACGGACCCTGAAATTTAAAATTGTCACCGCACTCCCGCGCCCCCCCCCCCCCTCCAAAATGAAATTTCCACCAGTTGTAGTCTTCGGGTTGCTGAGACGAATGGTCTTGATCCGAGGAAGTTGAGACGCTCCCTTCCTCCTATATTCCCAATCGAACTCGCCACTTCCACCGAAACTGGGTGACTGCGCCCTACTAGATGGGGATTTGTATGCAAAATGTCACTAAAAGCGACATTTCGTTCTTGTAAAAGCACGGATGACCGCGGTTGGCCCATATGCCATTGTAGTCTTTTGGACGCTGAGTCGACTGGTTTTGGTCGTACACCAGTCGGCAGTCGCCTGGTCACAGTGCCTGCAGGCTGCAACTTTCACACCAAGGTTCAACTCAAGGGTTCAAAGGTTCAACTCGAGTGAATGACAGGAACGAGCCCAAACAGGCTGTAAGTTGACGGTGACTATGTGACTGGTGTACGCATGAGCACGCGACCGCTTACTCAACCGTGTTGGATTGGTAATAAGGGCCGAACGCTGCATCGCAGTATTTTCGGACCAAAACCAAAAGACCTGTAACGCTTGTACAGTAGATTGTAAACATGCTGTAGTGTGTGCCCCGGGTGTCTTCCAGCAGACTTACGGAGCTGCGAGTTTGAATCCACTCGCCTAAAAAATAGGAGAATCTTTGAATCATTCCCCTCCCGGCTCCCACCTGAAGGCTGTAAGGGCCCCGGTCTGGCATGCAGCTGAGAGTGCCGAAACCGCTCTAGCGACAGTTCCGAAATGTAAATACCTAATGGTATACAACTGCAGGAGGCAGAATATACACTTCTGTGGACACTCAAATCTGTTGCCCCCCCCCCCCCCCCTCAAATTTCTACAGCGATACATAATACTTCCGCGACTCTGTTTCAGCACACAATGAGTGATCTACAGTGTACGCTATACAAGGAGTGATGTTGATTTGATGCTGTTTATGGAGTTGTGTTGACCAGTCACTGTGCTGTTTTGTGCTATTGTTATGTGCTGTAGGAGGTGGTGGAGATCAGTCTTGCTGAAGAGAATACACCAACACAGCATGTTTGCTTCAAAGTTACGTGGCAATCTGAAGAGGGTCGGTTACTTTGTTCAGCATGGCTATGGTGTGAGCACAGTAGCCACGTCAAAACTCAATGTTACTGGCAAGTTGATATCCACTCCGGCATCACCACACTACATTCCAGGTGTGAAATATCAGTCAAACTGGTCTGGCAATCATGGCACTAGTGTACGAGATGCCTATAATGCAATTGATTCAATCTTCGATAGAATTAACAAGACACACACATTTCAAGCTATTGATTTGATATCTCAATGTGCTCTTATTCAACGGCATGTAACTGACCTACGGCATCCAAGTATGGTTAAGAGTATCCTACAGGCGTGTGCTCTGATCACGGAGGTGAACACTGACGTGACCAAGTTGGCAGTATCTGCACTTAATCAGCTAGCCAGTCTACCCACTGATGTCTGGAAAGACTACAAGAATCAACAGCGCCTGAGACGGGTACTGGACTTCGCTGCAAAGTGTCGCTGTACAAGTCCAGTGTTCACGAAGTTACTTCAGCAGCAGCTTGATGTCCTGTGCCTTGATCAATGCAGAGATGTTGCCCAGTGTACCTATGCACTGTTCATGTTGAATTCACCCGACCGTTGCCTGGCGCAAAACTTGCTGAATCGCTATTTGACCATCCAGAGTACAGGTGATCCCAAGTATCGTCATAATGTAGTACTCTCACTACTTCTCTACTGTACACTGTGTGGTGTAGAGTGCAGTGCCTTGCTGAAGCTGATCAGTGTTGATCAACTGATACAGAGTAAGTCTATTCTTTGAGTAATGTTTGTTACATAGAGACTGTAGTGTTTGTTGTTGGTTGCGGTGTTTCTAAACACATGTAGCTGCTGTGAAAGAACACTGCAATACAAATACACAGCGATACTCTTTTATTTCTCACCTCACTGTTCAAGTACATAGCTATATTTTTGATTTAACAAATATGGTGTCTATGGTTCAAGCTACACTGTTTCCAGTACAGACATGTGTGCTTTCACTTGCGTGTTATAGAAATGTTTGATCCATAGTCATGACCACTGAGGGGATGGGGGATGGGGGATAGGTATTGTTTGATGGAATTCAGAGGCTAAAGGCCTATTGTGTACTTTGGCTTGGTGTTTTAGTAAGTTGGTGTGAAAGTCACTGATGATTGTCTTCAGATGTCACCTTTCTGTTCATAGTCATGTCGCTACAAGTCAATCTAATAATTATAGTGGTGTCCATGTGGTGGTCTGTATCTGTCTGTTTGTGTGTGTGTGGGTGCGTGCGTGCGTGTATGCGCGCGCGCATGTGGGTGGGTGGGTGGGTGTAGGTGTGGGTGTCACCTCTGTCAGCTATTATAGTGTAGACCAGGCTAAAGTTAGTGGTGGTCAATTCATCAGACTTGCAAGTTGTTGAATGGTGTAATCCCAGCACAAGTTGATATGTCTAACATAGCTTGTGCGCTATCATCCCTTCAGCGATTGGCAAGAGTATGAGTATGAGTCTGTGTGTGTATATCTGTGTGTGTATGTGTGCCTGTCCCTATGTCTATCAACTTGCCTTCACGTATTGCATTCACCTGTTTTATTTCTCTAGTTTGGAATGTTTGTGTGTTTTTTAACAGAATGCGATGGCACACACCTGCAACTGCTACTTTTGCACAACACTCTCCCGGTTACTGCTAGTCAACGACAACAGATAATTGACAAGTGTTCAGTGAGGTTCCAGGATAATGTACCAAGTCAGAACACAGGTCGAATGTATGACATGCTGTCATACTTCATTGGCTCAAAGTACACCACTGGCATGTCTCTGGTTGATGGTGTGAACGTTCAGGCATTCTGCATATACAACCAAGACCATGAACCAGTGGAGACTGACGCGTATCCAGCCAATGTATACAATGGTGTATCAGTAGATATGACAGCAGCTAGACATCATGGTTTCAGTGTTGTGGCCTGCCTGGGTGTGATGGATACAAGACTACTACGTCATCCAGGTCATGTTCCCAGTGGTTATGCTGTTCTTGAAGCATCGGCACTGAAGTGGCAAGGATGCTACTGTATTCCGGTGAGTTTAAAGTAGGAAGGAGCAGGACACATAGAGATGGCATAGGTGACTGAAATGTAATGATGTTTTTTTGTATTCCTGGAACGATCGATTTGTGGCCGCATTTTCGCTGTGTGAGCTGAAAAAACACACAGAAGTCAAAAAATGAGTGAGTTGGGTGGTGCGCTACAAGAGTGAGGGGGGGGGGGGAGGAGGCATTAGAATTAGGCGGCGCTGACCCCCCTCCCCCCCCCCCCCCCCCCAGCCCTAGTCCCTTTAGCTAGAACCCTGCTGTACCTAAGGAGTCGTTTTACCGGTGTGCTGAACCAGATCATCTGGAGAGCACAGGTGGTGGGGAGTTTGGACATTGATATTGAATCAATTGGAAGACAACTGTTGGTCATTCTCTCTCATTTTACTGTTCATCATCATGTATCTGTATACTGTAAATATACAAATTTTCGGCAGCTATTTAATTTCGGCTATATTCGGCACCGACCCAAAACGCCTAAATTAAAACGCCGATGAAATTTTTCACAGCATCTGTCGCACTATACCATGCCCTCTACCCCACGCCGAAAATAAATCGCCGCCGAAATGTCAAAAATCGTGAAGTGCCGAAATTTTGCAGCGCCGAAATTTTGTATATTTACAGTAGTAGATTATATGAGTCAAAAGAATCATCTTGCACAGAGTTATGGCTTTGTCAGTGTTGGACATCTGCATGAACATCAGTTTGACCAAGCTGTATACATCTTTAATAGTGCATTATCATGATATACTCCTGGTACAGTGGTAGTACAGTGTATGTACATGTACAGACAAAGTCACATGAGTGCAGAGAGGTGTAACATTACCATGATTACAGGACGGGTAGTACAGATAACAACTAAAAGGCAAGTTCAAGATTGCCTGGCTACAGTTCATGTAGCAGCATGGTATTTTATACACGTACGCCGGTTCTTGTTGCAGCGTTTGTGTGCGTTTGTGCGTGTGTGTGTGAGTGTGTGTGTGTTTGTGTGTACGTGCGTATCTGTGTGTGTGTGTGTGTGTGTGTGTGTGTGTTTGTGTGTGCGTATCTGTGTGTGTGTGTGTGTGTGTGTGTGTGTGTGTGTTGTTGTTGTTGTTGTTGTAGAAGTTTATTTAACGTCGCACCACAAACAGGCGATTTCGCCTCCTTTGATACATGTGGACGACAGAAGGAATGAGAGAGAGGGGGGGGGGGCAGAAGTATGGAGAGAGGAAGGGTAGAAATAAATAAGCAATCAACCTCAGGGCTACACCAAAGCAAAAACGGAATGGGAACATACTATATACAAAATAGCTTCATACATATATTGCAAAACACGTTTACTATTCTTCAGTCCGCTATACCACAGAAACACACTAGCCGAAAAGCATTTAAACGGAGCCATGATGCGCTTTTAGCAGGGCACAGAACTGAAGGTGGCTGGGCTCGGAACGGAGATCAGGCGGGAGCTGGTTCCACAGGACTGCGCCGATGAACTGCATGGTCGCTCGACCCGCAGGACCGGGCCAAAATGGTACTCGAACGAGGTGATGTGTCGCTCCCCGAGTGCGGTCACCAGTAACTCTCACGAAGAAGCTGGTGAAGAGGGAGCTAGCTCGGGAGAACAGACAACGACGGACAAAGATGAGGAGCTTAATGTTAAACATGTCCTCCAGGGTGGTGAGGCGGAGCTGTTCAAAGATCGGGCTCGTGCGCGACCACGGTGGCAGACCGAAGAAGCCGCGGATAGCGCACTTCGTTAGACGTGTGAGGGGCTCCATGTTGCCAATTTGAAGTGACGGATAAAAGGCGTTGGAAGCGTACGACAACCTACCCTGGATCATCGACCTGTAAAACAGGATCTTTGACGCCAGGGTGAGGCTTCGGCGGCTCCGCCACAGCGCACCTACTGACTTCCGCACCTGCTGGATTGTGTGATTGACGTGAGGCTCCCAGGAGAGCTGCCCATCTACCATTACGCCCAGGTACCGCGCTTGTTCCACAACTGCAAGGGCTGCATTCCCACAGCGAATTCGAATGTTATCTGTGTCAGGGGCTGGGCCTCTTGGGGTAATCAACAGAGCTTGCGTTTTCTTTTGGTTCAGCATTAGCCCGCGGTCCTCCAACCACTGCGACAGGCCAGTGATGGCTGTGCTTAGAGAAGAGCACACTTGTTCGCAACTGCCCGAGGCTTCAATTGCAATGTCGTCTGCAAATTCCTGGTTTGTGACCTGCTGGGGCAAGCAGCATCGAAGGTTACGGATGTATAGTGTGAACAGGAGGGGGCCGAGGACGGATCCTTGCGGCACCCCTCGACTGCATGCGACGTATTCCGAGCAATTTCCGCCCACGACTACGCGTTGAAGCCGCTCACTCAGGTAACTAGTGAACCATATCTGGACAGTACCGCCGACCCCAATGTCGGATAGCTCCTGTGCCAAGATGGTGTGTTTGACACAGTCGAAAGCCTTCGACATATCCACGAATATCACACCTGTGAGTTTGCGCTCATACTTCGCTTTCAGCCAGCGATTGACAGCTAGCACAAGAGCGTCCTCCGTACTGTGGTTCTTCCTGTACGCGAACTGCGAGTCAGGGAGAATACTGTGATCGGTCAGAAAGGATGTAAGCTGAGCTTTGACGATCTTCTCGAGGAGGCGAGAAACGACTGGTAGTAGAGAAATAGGTCGATAGGCAGTAGGCTGACAAGGGTCAAGGCCGCCACCTTTGAATAGCGGCGACACATTAGCAATTTTAAACTGACGGGGAACACACCCCTGACATAACGAAGTATTGAAAATGATGCTGAGCGAGGGAGCCAGTATTGATGCCGAGTTTCTAAGGACAATACCCGGCAAGTCATCATGTCCAGTTGCTTTTGACGCGTCAACGGACTGGAGAAGGGCCGTAATGTCCTCCGTCGAAACAGGCGCAAATTCCGTGAATGCTGGTGCTTCACGTTCGGCTGGTGCGTTGGCGCACAGCGCGTCTGGTCGTCCAGGGTCATGTACAACTTCGCCAAAAGTTCGGGAGAGGATTCCAACAGGTACTTGTGGTGGGCTTGAACTTTTCGCTCGTCCAGTCACCACGTTTATCGTATTCCAGAGCTTCCGTCCATCCTTTCCGGCCGACTGTAGGCGAGCTTGAAAATACTGATCCCTTAGCCTCCGATCTAGCTTGCGCGCGGCTGCGCGGAGAGTGCGGTGTTGCTCTCGCAGGCGGACATCGTTTGGAGAGCGTGAAAGAAGTCGGTGGGCCTTGTTTCGTTGACGCACAGCAGATACAAGTTCAGGACACAACCATGGGCAAGGTCGGAGCCTCGGCTTACGAGGAGGTTGTAAGGGGGCGTGACGATCTAGAGCAGTAAAAACCTTTGCGTACCATTCGTGTGTGTGTGTGTGTGTGTGTGTGTGTGTGTGTGTGTGTGTGTGTGTGTGTGTGTGTGTGTGTGTGTGTGTGTGTGTGTGTGTGTGTGTGTGTGTGTGTGTGTGTGTGTGTGTGTGTGTGTGTGTGTGTGTGTGTGTGTGTGTGTGTGTGTGTGTGTGTGTGTGTGTGTGTGTGTGTGTGTGTGTGTCCCATATGGTGCAGTGGTATGTGCAGTCGATTTCCAATCGAGAGGTTGCGGGTTCAATTCCCGACGATTATGGTCGCACACGTCTTTCTTCTCTTTCTCGGACTCTTCCTGACTTTTCTTTCATTCTCCTGGGTGGTTACCAACAGCCAGTGTATGCCGGAGTATGTGGTGTGGTGTGTGTGTGTAGAAAAAAAGTGGAAAAATGAAAAATAGGGATTCACTGGCCAGAAAAAGTCACTTCAAACAGCTGTGTGGTAGATACCAGGCTAAAAATAGTGGCGGTCAATTCATCAGCCTTGCAAGCTGTTGAATGGTGTAATCCCAGCACAAGTTGCTATGTCTAACATAGCTGTTCGCTATCATCGCTTCCGCGATGGGCACGTCTGAGGTCTGAGGTGTGTGTGTGTGTGTGTGTGTGTGTGTGTGTGTGTGTGGCGGGCGGGCGGGCGGGCGGGCGGGCGGGCGGGCGGGCGGGCGGGCGGGCGGGCGTGCGCGCGTGCGTGCGTGAGTGTGCTGGCCAGAAAAAGCCACTTCATAGCTGTGTGGTGTAGACCAGGCTGAATAGTGGCGGTCAATTCTTCAGCTTTGCAAGCTGTTGAATGGTGCAATCCCAGCACAAGCTGCTATGGCTTCTGCTGTAGCATCGCTATCATCGCCTCCGGCGATGGGCGTCCAATGGTCCAATGGTGTGTGTGTGTGTGTGTGTGTGTGTGTGTGTGTGTGTGTGTGTGTGTGTGTGTGTGTGTGTGTGTGTGTGTGTGTGTGTGTGTGTGTGTGTGTGTGTGTGTGTGTGTGCTTTACACCCTTTATTGCACAGATGATCCTTGAACACGGGGCAGCAAAGACCCAGAAAAGTAGCCGATTTGTTCCTGATCTTATGATCAATTATCCCGATCACATTCCAGTGTTCAAACATCTACTGGCACCCAAGCAGTGATGGTCACCGGCAGTCACATCTCACAGCGTGCTTTGGTAAGGAACTGGTTGTTTTTCCCAGCTTGTTAGGATCAACGAGAGGGCTTGAAAGCCTAGGAACCCTCGCTATGCTTTGTTTTTACCTAGGTCATCATGTGTGTTATTCGAACTGATAGAAACGTCTTTGCAGAACGATTATCGGGCACATGTTTTTGCATTGCAAAGATGTTTCTATAAGTTCGCACAACAACACAATTTGATGACTTAGGTAAGTATAAAGCATAGCAAGGGCTCCTGGACTTTAAGCTGTCTCGTTTTCCGGGTTGGGATTTAAACCGCACCTATCGCCCTGCATGCATTCCCTCGAAACACTTCATACAGTTTACTCGCGATAAGTCACGCACTTTTAAGTCACGCACTCGCGATAAGTCACGCACTTTTTCATCCAGGACACCCATCTCAAGAATTTTTTTATTTTTCGGGATTTTGCGGATTTCGTGGATTTCGTGAATATTTGCGAATGATGTGGTTTTCAATGATGGAGCATGAATACTGTAAAGGTAAGAATATAATTATTATGTGCATATTGTATGAGAGCCTTCTCCCTCAGGATCACCCACGACAATCCAAGTTTGTCAGTCACAAACTTCTCCCTTCGAAGCAAAATATACTTCACTAGCCGCTCCTCAATTTTCCCGAACTGGGAACTTCTGTTGTGGACTCCCTGTGGACCAAACGGATTAGCATCGGCGAGTTTGCCAGCTTCAGCATCCCTCAGCCAGCCGCGGAACTGCGCCTCCGGAACATTGTTCAACTTTGCAAATTTTCGAGCAGACGTTTTCCACTCTCACGATAGAGACGAACCAAACGCAGTCGATCAGCCACTGTTTGCTGTTCTTTCGTTTTCTTATGAGAAGGCATCGTCAAGCAAAGGGAAACGAAGTGTTGCACGACGGAAACAGAAGTGCGTCTTGTCAAATCTCTACCAAAACTAACGGAACGACGTTACGTCGTTACTTGTCTTTCTCGATCATGCCTTCTTCATTATCGATCATGGCTTCACGCTGTGGTAGATCTACGTCTCGTGTACAGTAGTGTACAGTGTACCACAGTAGTGTACAGTGTACAGTGTACTAGTGTTGAAACGAATAATCGAATAATCGAATAATTTAGAATATTCGTGGGGTGAACGAATAATCGAATAGTCGTAGGAATTGTCAGAAATCGGAAAAAAAAAAAAAAAAAGCTATCTATGCTCAATGCTGACCCTGCTGATATTTGCATTGCGTAGATCTGCTCGTAGTATTTCTTCTCAGTCTCCTCTCCTCCAAGTTTTAATCTCCTACCGGTATCTAGTATTACTTCTCTTCTTTCCATACGAGGGAAACATGGATGTAGTGAATGTGATTTTCGGTCTTTGACCACTTTGTGGTGGGTCTGATCTACTCACCTCCCACCGCTTTAGGAGCTGCATCTGCGCCTTGATCCAAGAGGGTGGTGGCTTTCCTGCGGATGCGGAAAACTCGGCTTCTAGTCGAGTCTCACGCGAACCGTGAACGTTTTTTGAACTTTTTTCTCCATACTGTGCTCTTCTGTCATGTCTGCACCCTGTACTTGCCAGTGCACATACTGGTAGATCCACATGTACATGATTGTACATGTACGTGCATGTGCTGTACCGGTTAACCGGTTATGCACCTCCACAATACAAAATCCGATATTATTATAAATCAGCGAAAAATTTCAAAAAAACTACTTAAAAAGTACTGAAAAAGTGTTGAAAAATTCCATCATGCGTATGATAGAATATAGAATATTCGTTCGATGGAGGGCGAAATTATTCGATAGATTATTCGTTCGAAGAATCCGTGTTCGGTTTAAACACTACAGTGTACCACAGTAGTGCACAGTGTACCACAGTTTTTTTTTTTTTTTTTTTGATTGAGTAATTATACTAAAAATGTTTGGCACCTATGATCAGGGGATGGCCCACGCCTGGTAAAAAAAGTAAGTAATTAAAAAAAAAAAAAAGAGGTTCTGTGTTCCGGCTCTCCGCCTTCTCCGCGAACATAAGAGAACTAGAGGAGAACAAACAAACACAAGAAGCAAGAATGACACGAAAAGCAGAAATTATGAGAACATGGTATAAATGAGCACGGCCATCAACCTCAACAGGGGATAGCCGCCTCGGCAACAACAAGAGCAGCTGAGTCCGCGGCAAAGACCGGTGCATAGAGCCGCCTAGCACCCCTCAGGCACATCACACTGGGTCGGACCAAGGCAAAGCTGATTTGACACCGGATCGAAGCCATCACGGCACTGTAGGCCTCTCCGGTCTTGTCGGCGATGAGGGACGCTATCCTCTTGTACAGAGAGGTGGCAGATTTCCCCATGCCTCCCGTAGTGGAGAACACGGCGGGAACAAAGCTGGAGTGTTCCACTTCTCGGATTCTCTGCTCATAGGCACAGCGCTTGGCTTTTTCGTGACGGGTGTAGCTAGCAGCAAGTGAGTTGAGGCGATTCGAGGACGCAAAAGGGTTAAACACCCGGACATCAATGTAGGTGCGCTCGAACCGCCCTCCCCAAATGCCACTAGCCACCACGTCAAGGCGGGCTTGGTCGTCGCCCACAGCAGTACGGTACCGGAGCTGCTCTCCAGTGAGTGGCTGCAAATGTGGCTCACACAGTGTACCACAGTAGTGTACACTGTACAGTCAGTGTTCAATACAGACTAGACAGTGTAACGACGTGCGCATGCAGCTCAGTGCTTGTACGCGTGTTCAGCACACATGTCCATATGCAGAAGAAAAAATGATGGCTGTACATATGCATGACGTATTGCATAATGTAAGTCACGCACTCGCGGTAAGTCGCACATTTTCTGTTCCAGGACACTGTGCGTGACTTATCGCGAGTAGACTGTATACATACACATTCTACCAAGTTACTTCACGTTACAGTTCTGCCGTTGAAAGCCCTATTTAAATTTCTGGCTAGCTTTCTCTGTCGGTACAGTACGGTACTGGACATGCGCCAGGCATGGTGCATCACGTGATGACGATTAAAGCGTTGTGGACCCTTGAGACGTTGACGGCCATTTGCCATTCGCCACGCTGTCACCTCCAACCATCCACCGTATTTTCCGGAGTATAAGCTGCACTGGAGTATAAACCGCACCCCCATTTTTTCAGCCATGAAATACGGTGTCAGTTGTGTGTTTAGTGATCACATTTTCTGACTGCTTATTATCTTGTTACAGTAGTGAACAGTTACTCATAACCAAGAGTACATGAAAACCAGAGTGTGCAGCTCGGATGGGTTGCTATCACGGCGGAATTCTGTGATTACATCATTTTAGTGATGTAGTACTTGCAAGCAGGATTTAAGCAGGTCTCTTTCTGCACAACTGAAGCTCAGTTGAACGCACTACGCCATTTCCCGCCTCAGATCTGCGCCCAATATGATGTAATCACGGAATTCCGCCGTGACAGACACCCATAGTAGAAAAAGCTCCAAGCTGCACACTCTGGGTTTCATGTAGAGGGGACGGCTCGATACCGGGACGTTTTGACAGCCAAATTTGTATAGACCCAAACCGATCGTCAGCGTTGATTTTCACTCGAAATATGTTTGTGGAAGGAAACTGGCATGTTGAAGTTTGCTCTGGGGCCAGAGTCAATCGAACTGAGCCACTCCTTTGTGTTGACCCATTGCCTCCAAGTTGCCCAATTTTTCGCTTCAAAAAAGTTCAAATCAGAGGTGGCTCCAAACCGGACACGTTTTAGAGTGCACTTCAAATTCACTCTGGGTCTGAAATTAGGTAATTGCTATCGCTCCACGACGGCCAGTACAGAGTAACAATAAGCCTTGTGTGTGCTTCCATTAGTTTTGAGTGGTTTGCGGTGCTTTATTGGCGAGAGGCGAGCCGCTGTTTACCTGCGACAAGAAGTTGATTTTTCGAAAGTCGTAAAACTCAAGTCGCAGTGCGAAGCAACACGTCAAAAACTCACGTGCTTGATATGGCGCTTCTGGTCATCGCAGAGCCATGAAATTTTGGCTCGGAGTATAACACATCGTAGTCTCACTGTGACATATGTTTTCTAATCAAAATACCAAGAGAGAAAGTGAATATTGAGTCCGTTCCGGTTTGCAACCGGTGTCCTATTTGAAACCGTCCCCTCTACTCTTGTCATAACTCGTAACCCATGTGTCCTTTCTCTTTTTTACACCAACAACACCTCTTATTTTTCTTCTGATTCCAGTCTCTCTCTCTGCAATTGTCTTCTGTTTCCTCAGACACCGTCCTTTGTTTTGGAAGTGGCTCCGAATTTGCTGGGTGGATGTCGTATCATTACCAAGCACACCAATGCACGGGACCGGTTGATCTTGAACTTGAGCAGGGGAAAGCAAGTATTCTATTTAGTCCTGCACACTAGCGTATAGTCACTCTCTGCTCTGAATTGATGTCGTCTGCCTTGATTATTGGAAGTTGGAACAGCCAAGGCAGTGACAAACAAGTTTTACACATGCATGTAATTCTTGATGCAAGACCATTTGTTTACACTTCATCTTGCCCGGAATTGCTCCCACCGATGACTTTCACGGTCGGTCATTCTGGTGTATTGTAGATGATGTGACTTTTTGACTGAAGCTTCAGGTGGTACTTGCACCAAGTGAAGCTTTGCCTCAGTGCCCTGCAAAGCAGAGTCGAATAGAATAACTACTGACTATTGTATTTCTCAACGTAGCCGCTTACGACCTTGTCACAGTTTCTGTTCTTCTCATAATTATGTACATTGCTTGCTGACTGCCGCATCTGTTGTGATCTCAAACATGTGTGCTGTCTCCTGGCTCATTTTGAAACATGGTTAACGTCAGTATTGTTAAAATGTATGCTAATAATTAGTGTTGAAACGAATAATCGAATAATCGAATAATTTAGAATATTCGTGGGGTGAACGAATAATCGAATAGTCGTAGGAATTGTCAGAAATCGGAAAAAAAAAAAAAAAAAAAAGCGATCTATGCTCAATGCTGACCCTGCTGATATTTGCATTGCGTAGATCTGCTCGTAGTATTTCTTCTCAGTCTCCTCTCCTCCAAGTTTTAATCTCCTACCGGTATCTAGTATTACTTCTCTTCTTTCCATACGAGGGAAACATGGATGTAGTGAATGTGATTTTCGGTCTTTGACCACTTTGTGGTGGGTCTGATCTACTCACCTCCCACCGCTTTAGGAGCTGCATCTGCGCCTTGATCCAAGAGGGTGGTGGCTTTCCTGCGGATGCGGAAAACTCGGCTTCTAGTCGAGTCTCACGCGAACCGTGAACGTTTTTTGAACTTTTTTCTCCATACTGTGCTCTTCTGTCATGTCTGCACCCTGTACTTGCCAGTGCACATACTGGTAGATCCACATGTACATGATTGTACATGTACGTGCATGTGCTGTACCGGTTAACCGGTTATGCACCTCCACAATACAAAATCCGATATTATTATAAATCAGCGAAAAATTTCAAAAAAACTACTTAAAAAGTACTGAAAAAGTGTTGAAAAATTCCATCATGCGTATGATAGAATATAGAATATTCGTTCGATGGAGGGCGAAATTATTCGATAGATTATTCGTTCGAAGAATCCGTGTTCGGTTTAAACACTACAGTGTACCACAGTAGTGCACAGTGTACCACAGTTTTTTTTTTTTTTTTTTTTGATTGAGTAATTATACTAAAAATGTTTGGCACCTATGATCAGGGGATGGCCCACGCCTGGTAAAAAAAGTAAGTAATTAAAAAAAAAAAAAAGAGGTTCTGTGTTCCGGCTCTCCGCCTTCTCCGCGAACATAAGAGAACTAGAGGAGAACAAACAAACACAAGAAGCAAGAATGACACGAAAAGCAGAAATTATGAGAACATGGTATAAATGAGCACGGCCATCAACCTCAACAGGGGATAGCCGCCTCGGCAACAACAAGAGCAGCTGAGTCCGCGGCAAAGACCGGTGCATAGAGCCGCCTAGCACCCCTCAGGCACATCACACTGGATCGGACCAAGGCAAAGCTGATTTGACACCGGATCGAAGCCATCACGGCACTGTAGGCCTCTCCGGTCTTGTCGGCGATGAGGGACGCTATCCTCTTGTACAGAGAGGTGGCAGATTTCCCCATGCCTCCCGTAGTGGAGAACACGGCGGGAACAAAGCTGGAGTGTTCCACTTCTCGGATTCTCTGCTCATAGGCACAGCGCTTGGCTTTTTCGTGACGGGTGTAGCTAGCAGCAAGTGAGTTGAGGCGATTCGAGGACGCAAAAGGGTTAAACACCCGGACATCAATGTAGGTGCGCTCGAACCGCCCTCCCCAAATGCCACTAGCCACCACGTCAAGGCGGGCTTGGTCGTCGCCCACAGCAGTACGGTACCGGAGCTGCTCTCCAGTGAGTGGCTGCAAATGTGGCTCACACAGTGTACCACAGTAGTGTACACTGTACAGTCAGTGTTCAATACAGACTAGACAGTGTAACGACGTGCGCATGCAGCTCAGTGCTTGTACGCGTGTTCAGCACACATGTCCATATGCAGAAGAAAAAATGATGGCTGTACATATGCATGACGTATTGCATAATGTAAGTCACGCACTCGCGGTAAGTCGCACATTTTCTGTTCCAGGACACTGTGCGTGACTTATCGCGAGTAGACTGTATACATACACATTCTACCAAGTTACTTCACGTTACAGTTCTGCCGTTGAAAGCCCTATTTAAATTTCTGGCTAGCTTTCTCTGTCGGTACAGTACGGTACTGGACATGCGCCAGGCATGGTGCATCACGTGATGACGATTAAAGCGTTGTGGACCCTTGAGACGTTGACGGCCATTTGCCATTCGCCACGCTGTCACCTCCAACCATCCACCATATTTTCCGGAGTATAAGCTGCACTGGAGTATAAACCGCACCCCCATTTTTTCAGCCATGAAATACGGTGTCAGTTGTGTGTTTAGTGATCACATTTTCTGACTGCTTATTATCTTGTTACAGTAGTGAACAGTTACTCATAACCAAGAGTACATGAAAACCAGAGTGTGCAGCTCGGATGGGTTGCTATCACGGCGGAATTCTGTGATTACATCATTTTAGTGATGTAGTACTTGCAAGCAGGATTTAAGCAGGTCTCTTTCTGCACAACTGAAGCTCAGTTGAACGCACTACGCCATTTCCCGCCTCAGATCTGCGCCCAATATGATGTAATCACGGAATTCCGCCGTGACAGACACCCATAGTAGAAAAAGCTCCAAGCTGCACACTCTGGGTTTCATGTAGAGGGGACGGCTCGATACCGGGACGTTTTGACAGCCAAATTTGTATAGACCCAAACCGATCGTCAGCGTTGATTTTCACTCGAAATATGTTTGTGGAAGGAAACTGGCATGTTGAAGTTTGCTCTGGGGCCAGAGTCAATCGAACTGAGCCACTCCTTTGTGTTGACCCATTGCCTCCAAGTTGCCCAATTTTTCGCTTCAAAAAAGTTCAAATCAGAGGTGGCTCCAAACCGGACACGTTTTAGAGTGCACTTCAAATTCACTCTGGGTCTGAAATTAGGTAATTGCTATCGCTCCACGACGGCCAGTACAGAGTAACAATAAGCCTTGTGTGTGCTTCCATTAGTTTTGAGTGGTTTGCGGTGCTTTATTGGCGAGAGGCGAGCCGCTGTTTACCTGCGACAAGAAGTTGATTTTTCGAAAGTCGTAAAACTCAAGTCGCAGTGCGAAGCAACACGTCAAAAACTCACGTGCTTGATATGGCGCTTCTGGTCATCGCAGAGCCATGAAATTTTGGCTCGGAGTATAACACATCGTAGTCTCACTGTGACATATGTTTTCTAATCAAAATACCAAGAGAGAAAGTGAATATTGAGTCCGTTCCGGTTTGCAACCGGTGTCCTATTTGAAACCGTCCCCTCTACTCTTGTCATAACTCGTAACCCATGTGTCCTTTCTCTTTTTTACACCAACAACACCTCTTATTTTTCTTCTGATTCCAGTCTCTCTCTCTGCAATTGTCTTCTGTTTCCTCAGACACCGTCCTTTGTTTTGGAAGTGGCTCCGAATTTGCTGGGTGGATGTCGTATCATTACCAAGCACACCAATGCACGGGACCGGTTGATCTTGAACTTGAGCAGGGGAAAGCAAGTATTCTATTTAGTCCTGCACACTAGCGTATAGTCACTCTCTGCTCTGAATTGATGTCGTCTGCCTTGATTATTGGAAGTTGGAACAGCCAAGGCAGTGACAAACAAGTTTTACACATGCATGTAATTCTTGATGCAAGACCATTTGTTTACACTTCATCTTGCCCGGAATTGCTCCCACCGATGACTTTCACGGTCGGTCATTCTGGTGTATTGTAGATGATGTGACTTTTTGACTGAAGCTTCAGGTGGTACTTGCACCAAGTGAAGCTTTGCCTCAGTGCCCTGCAAAGCAGAGTCGAATAGAATAACTACTGACTATTGTATTTCTCAACGTAGCCGCTTACGACCTTGTCACAGTTTCTGTTCTTCTCATAATTATGTACATTGCTTGCTGACTGCCGCATCTGTTGTGATCTCAAACATGTGTGCTGTCTCCTGGCTCATTTTGAAACATGGTTAACGTCAGTATTGTTAAAATGTATGCTAATAATTAGTGTTGAAACGAATAATCGAATAATCGAATAATTTAGAATATTCGTGGGGTGAACGAATAATCGAATAGTCGTAGGAATTGTCAGAAATCGGAAAAAAAAAAAAAAAAAGCGATCTATGCTCAATGCTGACCCTGCTGATATTTGCATTGCGTAGATCTGCTCGTAGTATTTCTTCTCAGTCTCCTCTCCTCCAAGTTTTAATCTCCTACCGGTATCTAGTATTACTTCTCTTCTTTCCATACGAGGGAAACATGGATGTAGTGAATGTGATTTTCGGTCTTTGACCACTTTGTGGTGGGTCTGATCTACTCACCTCCCACCGCTTTAGGAGCTGCATCTGCGCCTTGATCCAAGAGGGTGGTGGCTTTCCTGCGGATGCGGAAAACTCGGCTTCTAGTCGAGTCTCACGCGAACCGTGAACGTTTTTTGAACTTTTTTCTCCATACTGTGCTCTTCTGTCATGTCTGCACCCTGTACTTGCCAGTGCACATACTGGTAGATCCACATGTACATGATTGTACATGTACGTGCATGTGCTGTACCGGTTAACCGGTTATGCACCTCCACAATACAAAATCCGATATTATTATAAATCAGCGAAAAATTTCAAAAAAACTACTTAAAAAGTACTGAAAAAGTGTTGAAAAATTCCATCATGCGTATGATAGAATATAGAATATTCGTTCGATGGAGGGCGAAATTATTCGATAGATTATTCGTTCGAAGAATCCGTGTTCGGTTTAAACACTACTAATAATACTACAAATCATTGTTTTCAACTTTTTACGTTACTACTGCTGTGAACATAGAAATCCAGTGGAATGACCGGGCCGCGGGGACGGCACCCTGGTCTTATTTGCTTAGTTTGCACATGCACTGTGTAACACTTTAAACACATGGACCAGCACTGGTCACGGCTGCACGGCCAGCGCCTCGTGGCCGCTTGACTTTGCAGCGGATTTCAACGTCCGCTACCGGGTA